AAATCACATCAACATCAAAAGCATTCTAGTAACAATACCAAAGAAAGATAATGATCTTTACCCAACTCGAACAACATCAAATTTATTAACATCATCATCATTAATAACACCAATTAAAAATACCTTTAACAATCTGAAAAAGAAAAAGAAGCATTAGTAATATATTCACAAAAAAAAACAAGAAAAAGAAGCAAGTAAAATTATACTTTTCTAAATTCCAAGAAAAGCCAAGAATGTCTTTAACTAATCTAGAATAATATAGGAACTTGTTAACAAGATTGAATAGCAAGAATCACAAAAAACAAAGCTATCTTTAATGAGATTAAATAGCAAGAATTACAAAAAATCAAGCTGCCTCTAATAAAACTAAAAAAAAAAAAAAAGCATTAGTAACATATTAACAAGACAGAATAATACTACCCAACTATTAACTACTTTAACCAACAAATTTAACAAATATCCTAACAATAAATTCTAATCTGAATCTAAACTAAACCTTACCTATCAATAAAGTCATATAATGACGTGCCAAAGATGAAGCCAAGAAATTCTAAACTGAAATCCTAACTAAACCTTACCTACTAACAAAGTTATATAATGACGTGCCAAAAATAAAGCCAAGAGTATACTAGAGATAGTTTTAAGAAGAGAAACCTAACATGCCATACCTAATAACAATACAAATTCCTCCAGAATTTCAGCACCAACAATGACGAAGCCAAAATAACGATACCAAACCTAAGAGACCAAATGTAGTAGACGAAGATGCCAAACTCAAGGGGCCAAACACGATGAATAATAGCACCCAACGACGACTTCACAATTTGACCTGTATAATATAAACTGTCGCTTAAAAAAAAAAATTAATACTGTATATCGGATTAAAACAAATACAAAAAAAAAAAAAAAAACTAATATTAATGCAATTGATAATCACTATTTATACCTCATGATCAGGGGTGCACCATGATGCACAGTGTACTAAATTATAATTCTCATATTTTTAATACTTTGCAAAAATAATATTGTTTCTTTAGCAGTTTTGTTTTTTTTTTATTAATTTACTTTATTCCAGTACTTTGTGAAAAAAATTAACTCTGGCTTTTTTGACTTGTTGCAAGCAAATTTAAACTTTTTCAGCATTTAGCAAAACTTATTATCAAATTTTAAAGTTACAAGAATATGAACTCTTACTTTAGCAAATGAAGATTTGGAGTTTATTTATTTTTTTATTTTGCTTATGTTTTGTTTCTTTTTTACTTATTTCTTTAATTTTATTTTATTTGTTCTAGCATTTTGTGAAAACCTTTGATGATTTTTAAATTTACAAGAAAAATAAAAATTTGAGGCTTTATTTATTTTTTTTTTGTTTATTTTTTTTTATTTATTTTTTAAATTTTTATTTTATTTTATTTATTATAGCACTTTGCAAAAACTTTTAACAATTTCAGAATTGCAAAAACACAAACTTTTACTTTAGAGAAAAAAGATTTGGGACTTTATTATTATTATTTTTTTGTTTATTAGCTTTATTTATTTATTTTTTTTTGTTTGTTTTCTTTTATTCTAATATTTTGTAAAATTATTTAGTTATTTTTGAATTTGCAAAAATAT